CTTTTGCAGGTGTTTAGAGTTAATTTGTTGATTCAGATGATTAGGTTAATAAGTCATTCAGAGAAACTTTTCATGATATGCTATTTTTTCGACATATGGATTTTTGGTTTTTCTTTACTTTTTTGCCAAAATCATCAATATTAAAACAATAAAAGGCTTGAACTACTTCAGTTGGTGTGCAATGAATCTAAAATATATGAAAGTTTAAAGATTAACAGTACATTACAGAAAATAATGAACTTCATCACAGTATGCTAATTTTTTGAGAAGGACCTGTAAATCTTTATGACCAAAACTCTCCTGTCTTCACATAGAAAACCAGCGTGAAACCATTTATTTTAGGATGACAATGGTGGAACATGTTAACACTTATCATCTAGCCATTCTGTTTCTGCATCAAGCTGAAAAGAAAATATATTGGTGAAATCTCTTTTTTTTTTAATTTATGAAAGGTTATTCAGATGTTTCAATTTTTACATAAGAATCTGCATGATTAGAAAGCTAGGATGAGCTGAGCTCTAGTGCAAACATTTAACAKCAATGTGGAGTTTAATCATGATCATAAAACTAAAACAGCAAACAGGATATGAGTGGTAAGACGTAAATTAACAAATCACACAAGCCTTATAAAATAAGAGTAACAGTCATGCTGCTAAAGAGTGCATATAAATCGGTCACTGGGGAGCACTTTTCCAAGGTTTTCATCAATCCAGGTGGGCACTCTTATGATGGCATTTTCAAACCCAGTAGTGTTGGACCATGATGACCGCTGCGCTTACTATAGAAAGAGAGAATAATGAAAAGTATGTTAACAACTTATCAGTAAGTGCAATACACCCTCTAGACCTGTAAAATAAGGGAGGGAAACAAGAGTTGAATAAATAAAACCTTGACAAAGAAAGTCAAAAGGGATCATGTTCTTGATGAAATGTTCTGTAAAATAATAATTCAAGTTATAAAACTATTAAAACTGTCCAGACAGTGGCGCCACTGTGCGTATCTTAAGGTTTTCCTGAGTTAAAAAGTTTTTTATTCTAATTTTGACTTATTGATTTTTTTCCCTTTATTATTACCAAATATGTGGACAAAATAAAATAAAAAATGGTACTTTGTGTCAAAAAGTCCTGTAGCCTCTGTATCTGTGTGCGTCTGTGAGGATGGGACAAAGCTAGCTTCTCTGCCTTCACCTCTGCAGCTAAAAGGCCACAGAAGCCCAGCCAGCAGCTCACAGCCACAGGTAACGGTTAGCTGCCTGGTTGCTGACTGATCAGTCTGGCAGTCATCTTTGAGTTTGAGCAGACTGTGCTCATAGTTTGACAGGCAGCTTTCTGAGCTGTGGCTTTCTTGTGTGAATCATCTTCACAGTGTCGTTTCAAGCTGTGTTGCCCTTCATGAAAAAGTTAAAAACAACTTTGACTTCATCCTTTTCCCAGCTTTTGTTTTGCTGCATTTTCATTGATTTAACATGATTTCCATTACATTCTGTAGAAACCAAATCCATTTTTTGCCCTGTTTTAAATCATTTCGTTTTCACACAGTAAAATTTTGTGAAAACTGATTGACAGCTGACCCTGCGTCTCTGCCTTATGCCTTTCTTTCTTCTCACCTCCTCCTCCTGCAAAGGAGGCAACATCTAACTGTTGCAAATTGCAGCCACTAAATAACTTTTGTCGATTTTGTAGTTTCTTTTTCTGACTTTTCACAATTTGAATCAGTTAAAAGCGGGACATGGTGTGCGTTGGACCTTGTGTGAGACAGGTGTGCTGTTTTTCCTGCACCATATTTATCACACTCCTTTGGCATCGTGTTGGTCAGAAGAAGAAGGGGCGGGGCTTCTAACATGGGATTCCAGCGCTGATGCAACCTGCATGCTCATAAGGAAGATGTGATGTCACATTCAGCATGTGTTTCTTAGAAACAGCCTATGGATGCAACACGCTAGCATGTTGATTCTAAGCTTGTTCAATCAGAACCAATTTTTGTCTTTAGCCCAAGTGAGACGCTTCTGACGCTGCGTCCTTTTGTGTTGTGTCCTACTTGTGCAAGGTGTCAACGGTCATCTTTTGGACAAGTGTCAAGTCAGCAGTCTTTCCCATGTGTGGCCTACAGAATTAGACTGAGAGACCATTTAAATGCCTTTGCAGGTGTTTTGAGTTAATCAGCTGATTAGTGAGGCACCAGGTGTCTTCAATAATGAACATTTTCACAATATTCTGATTTTCTGAGATACTGAATTTGGGATTTTCATTAGTTATCAGTTATAATCATCAAAATTAAAATAAACATTTGGAATATATCAGTCTGTGTGCAATGAATGAATACAATATACAAATTTTGCTTTTTGAATGGAATTACTGAAATAAATAGAAACAGATATTCTAATTTTATGACCAGAACCTGCATATCTAAACTTGCCTCTGACATAACGTTGTTGGTTTTTTTGGGAACGAAGCAACACGCTGAAACTAAGGTAGGAACGAGTAACTTTATGGATCCTGTTCGTGACTGCTCGATGTTGCTATCGTATGTTTCTGTGGATTCTCAGTCATCCAGGACATGGAAATTTAAAAGAACAAAGACGAAACAACTGGACTTCTATTTTGTAGCTGAAGACGTGGAGTTACAAGATTTAAACATCATGACTCAAGGTTAGTGGATCGATCTGCTCACCTCCACCTCACTTATGTAAGTCAAGTGAAATGTGACAAGCGTTCAGATTGAGGGGTCGCTTTGTTGTTAAGAATCTGGTCAGATTAGGTGTTAGTAATTTTATTACTAACTTAAAATCAGTTATTTGAGTTTACTGCAGATAAGAAGAGATATCAAAGTGCTTTAGGCTAATTAAACAACCTGAACTGGTTTGTGAAAATTGTGATATGAGAGGTTCAGTTCGATATCGTCACCCAGTTGGAGACATCTAGTTGTCTCAATTGGGGGACAGCTTGGTGGGGACCCGTTCTGCTAGGACTCCACCCAGGTTCAGAATTGTCCGTGGGGTCAATCATTTGAAAATCAGGCAAGGACCTTTGATGTGGACAGGACAGCTTGGCTTTCAATCACACAGCCTTGGTCAGCTGGTTTCAGCTGGGCACTGTTTTATGGACCCCAGCGGGTCAGCTCGACAGCTTTCTGTAGCATAACATTTAATAAACTACATGAGACCTCTTGTCAGTCTCAGGTCTCAAGCAGAATGCCAAACTAGCTGCTTACAGCAGGTACTGTATTATCAGACCAGCCAAAAAAAAAAAGCAGCAGAGCCAGAGTCAATTTTCGCACCAACAGGAAAAGGAACGAGCACAACATCCGTATTTTCAAAATAAGACACTATTCGGMGGAATAATTTGTCGGAATAATGTCGAAATTGCAGCTATAGTAATAAATATACTGATATATTTCTACACAAATGCTGTCAGAATGTATCGTTCTGTTTGGGAAGCAGATGAAACATGTAGCACGAAGCTATGTGTACACACACGATACACGTGGATTTTATTTTGAAATCAGAAGTTTCAGAAAGCCGACAGCGAGACAGTTTCAACATAGATACCAAAAGCCTTTAGATCGTTGTTTTCAGCTCTGTTKGGAGTTCGTCTTCCACAAAATTAATTATTTTTTGCTGTGACTTCCACACTTATCACTGAATTTATCGCGCGATCTGCTTCCTGCACGTCTGTCGGACTGGAGCGGAGCGGAGGTGGTGTAAACTGGACTTAAAACGCACAGCTGCGACCTGCGCAGCGGAGACTTAACGCAAGTAAAGTAAATTAGGGGTAAGACTTAACGTTTCACTTGAAAAAATATTTTGGCCTTTTATTGACCTGGCAGCACCGAGCACAGCTGTTTGTCTGCTCAGATCTTCACTGTTTTTAAAATGACAACTCATAACAATATTTCAGGTTCAACTAGTGTGATCACTTGAGTAATACCTTAAAAATGAAAAATCATGTTACAAATTAATGATCTTTTTCTTTCTTTTATATAATTAATCACAAAAGATTAAAACAGACTATTTTCAGCATGATTTCAYCTGCCAGGGACAGGCTCTAATAAAGAGCTAGGTCAAAACTTTGACTCTACAGCAGGGGTTCTTAACCTTTTTGACCTCAGGGCCCAGTTTATTGAACATAAAGTGGCACGAGGCCCAGTCAGACATTACCAATGTACAGATCAAAATGATAATTATTCTAAATCTTGGTTTAATTTTTGTTGTATTTACATTATAACTAAATTAAATACACATTCTTTAAAATACATTCAAAATATTAAACAAACTACAAAAAATAATTTGATGAAGTGCAAATTAACATATCTGCAACTGTATTTGATAATGTTTTGAACTTTTAAAATACTGCATGATAGAACTAGAAGTATTAGTATTAGAAGTATTCATATTAGTGACAAACTTTGGTGTTTTTTGACGGATTACCTTCATTTTTGCTTCTACTTTTCATTTAAAATAGGTTTCCATTTTCGGCAGGTTTCTAAGGTTCTTCTTCTACATATTAAAAAAGTTGTTAAACATCTGAGTGGCGCACTACTGCTACTAGTGGTGAGAAACTGTATTGCACCTTATTCAAAATCAATGCTGTCCCACGGCCCTCTTCGGCCCGAAGTTAAAAACTGTTGTTCTTTGGAGGCCCTCAAGGTGGTGCTCGCGGCCCACCGGCCCACAGGTTAAGAATCTCTGCTCTAGAGGCCACGTGGAAAGAGGACCCTTCATGCTACATCACCTTCCCACTGTCGTGACAAAGTGAGAGATGTTTTAATCCCACAGAAAAGCATCAATACAAGTACTGTTAAAATACCGGATCAATAAGCAATTTCAATTAGAGTAGTAGTCTCATAAAACCTTAACAATACCCATCTCTAGTAATAAGGGAGGTTTGTACTGTTTTGGACAATTTTATTGATCCCCAGCCTTGTTTGTTCACTGAAGTGATACAATATATGAACATATTGCTGTAGTTGAGAAAGTGACRTAAGCAACACAAAGGTAAGCAGGTAATCAATTTGTCATGTCAGGGGTTCTAGGGTAGGCAGGAACTATGATGTCATTATTTTTAAGAAGTTGTGTTTAGGCTTTCCACACGAGAACAACTTCCTGTGTGGAAGTGGCCTCAAACAGTCATGTATGTTTAATGATCCCCAACTACCCAGTTACAGTTCATTTCAAGAGGAATCGTATCTCGTATCGTTGGGGCCTTGCGAATCAGGGTCCCAACAATACCCAACACAAAGAGGGAAAGAGAGACTAAAACAAGGGGACGCTGAACCCCGCTTGCACTCACTACAAACACRTAACAAAACACCAAATAACCACAGCCRAAGCWTCCAAACCAATAAGTCAGGTGATGGGGCACATGACCCTCTAYGAACAATAGAGCTAAYCAAGYCTATTGTTAGGCGATGGCCCTCTTTTGCATGTGACTAACCTGTTTGTCCACCATGTGGAGGCAGTGCTTTATAAGGCTGAGTTCACCTGAAACTCAGACTGAAGAAGTCTCTTGGACGAGAGACGAAATGTTTCACTAAAGAAGAACCCATTCGGAGGACCCAYTTTTTTTTTTTTTTTTTTTCTACCTGGATTACTGAGATGCATCAGGACACAGCACTCTGATATTTTAAAGCAGATATGGTAGATTGTTTTCATGCTGTGGCTGATCTGTTTGTGGTTCAAGAAATTAATTGGACGTGAAAGACTGCTGACACCAACTCAGCTTGCTTATCATATCATATTTCCATTTGACAAGTGTAATGTGTAGTTGATATTCCTTTTTTTTTTTTTTGTCTTACCGAAAGTGCTACATCCTCGCCTTCTTTTGCAGCCCTTTTGTCAGTTTTGCCTCTCCGATCTCTGTAACCCACCAATGACCGGTCAACATTATTGCTTGTGTGTGACAAGGCAGGCAAAGTGAAAAAAGTTGAAGGCGTAGAAAGGCGTAGAGAATTGATGCAACATGTGTGTACTCCAGGTCTAAATGGGTTAAACTACATTGCTCAAAAAATAAAGTGAACTCCTAAACAACACCATGTAACCTTAAGTCAACCTGTCCAATTTGGAAGCAACATTGACTGTAAATCAATTTCGCCTGCTGTTGTGCAATTGGAACAGACACAGGTAGAAATGAGAAGCAGGAGGTGGTGTTCTGCAGGTAGTGACCACAGACCATTTCTTTGTTCTTATCCTTTCTGGACTTATGTTTTGGTCACTTTTGCACCTCGATAGGTAACATGAGGTTTGTGTCTCTAACCCATAGAAGATGCTCAGGTAGTGTAGCTCATCTAGGATGGCTCGTCAATGTGACCTAAAAAGGTTAGATATGTCTATCATCTCAGTGTCCAGCACATGTAAGAGATACCAGGAAACAGGCCAGTACATCAGTAGACATGAAGGGGCTGTAGGGTAACAACCCAGCAACAGGACCACTACCTCTTCCTTCATGCGAGGAGAAACAGGAGGAGCATTGCCAGAGCCTTGCAAAATGACCTCCAGCAGGCCACTAATATCCATGTTTCTGCTCAAACTGTCAGAAACACACTTCATGAGGGTGGTATGAAGRCCTGATGTCCACAAGTGGTGCTTGTGCTAAAAGCCCAGCACCGTGCAAGGCAACTGGCATTTGCCAGAGACAGTAAGATTGGCAGATTTGCCACTGGCACCCTATGCTCTCCATGGATGACAGCAAGTTCACACTGAGCACATCATGGATGTGACAGAATCTGGAAACACTGTTGAAAACGTTCTGCCTGCAACATCCTCTAGCATGATTGGTTTGGCAGTGGGTCAATATTGTGTGGGGAGCTATTTCTTTGGAGGGCCTAACAGCCGTCCATGTACCATCCAGAGGTATCCTGACTGCAATTAGGTGCCAGGATTATGCTGGTACAGTGGACCCTGGGTTCCTTCTGATGCATGACGATGCTAAGCCCCATGTGGCTGAAGCGTATCAGCAGTTCCTACACGATGAAGGCATTGATGCTATGGACTGGCCTGCCAATTCCTTAGACCTGAATCCAATCAAGCACATCTGGGACATCAGGTCTCGTTACATCAACCAACTACAGTATATGTTGCACCAAAGACTGTCCAGGAGTTAACTTGATGCTTTAATCCAGGTCTGGGAGGAGATCCCTCAGGAGAACATCTGCCACCTCATCAGGAGCATGCCCAGGCATTGTAGGGAGGTCTTACAGGCACATGGAGGCCACAGGCCACATGTTAACTTGTCTCGAAGAATTTCCACTGAAGTTGGATTTTCCACTTTTTTTTCGAGTAGGATTCCAAAATCAGATCTCTATGGGAAAATAATTTTTATGTTGTTATGATTTTACGTTGTTCTCAAGGCACTCCATGATGTAATGAAAACATTTCCTACTGGAATATTTAATCCATTGAGATCTAGGATGTGTAATTTTAGTGTTTCCTTTATTTTTTGAGCAGTATATTTGAACACTCACAAGCCTATGTGTTGCCAACACACCCCACCACCACCACCACCACCACCACACACATCAGCTCTGCCTGTAGCGGCCTAAAAATTTTTAATCATCCTCATTGTGTTGCTGTTTCACAAAAGGTGCAAAATATAATCAAATTCTTCTTGATAGTAGAAACAAATCTACCGCAGGTTTGTCAACGACAAACATGTACACTCAATGAATTCAAGCATATTAAATATAATTGTATATGCCAAAGCTGAAACTAAGATATTCACAGTATAAAGATGATCAAAGGTTATTAGAAATATGTTGAAACGTTTTTTTCTCTAAATAACAATTTATCTAATATTTGCTTGCAATCATTAACATTTTAACATAATTTTGTTGCCCTATGAATAATAAATCATAWAGGGAAACAAAACTTGACAAATAAATAATTGCAATGCATACAGTGGGTTGCAAAAGCATTGCTACTTAGAGCTGTTGTACATGTGTTAATTAAAGGCTATCAGAGCAGGTGTATACATACTAAAATCATTAGACACAGTTTGCCTACAGATGAATCTTATTTATGGTCCTTCTATTTTATTAGAATATTATTGCTATTTGATATTGAATTATTATTGGATTAAAAGTCAATTCCAGGTTGCATGGTGAAGAACTAGAAAGATTACCAAGTGAAGCAAGAAATTTTGCAATCCTCTGTATTTTAAACTTAATCATCACTTTGTTTTACCAAGAATATATTGAAAAGAGTATATTGAAAMAACTAAAAACCCTCCTATACAGCCAGTTAGTCATCACACAGTGACACCTCTGACCCCACTAGGGGCAACTGAGATTACAAACATTCTTTGGGCACTAAAAAAAAACATTTAAAAAAGTCTGTCTCATGTTAAAACCCTATTTCTACAAAAGTAAAATGATCGACACTCACAAGAAGTCAACTCATTTCTATTCTATTGTATTTTTTCCGTTACAGTTGTATGTAAACAAGTCACAAAAGGCCATGCTGACATTTTTCCACAGCAGTGATTATGAAAAACAGCTGGTATCCAAATTGGAGGAGAGCTCTGTGTGACACACAGCTTTGTATAGGAGAGTGACTTTTGCAACACATGGAACAAAACCACCATCATACAGTAGCCAGGAAGCCTTAGAAATTGTCAACATGCATCAGAAAACACACAAAGCAATTCCACATATTCCCATTGTTAATGATTGATCTAAGGCAGAAAAAGTTGGTGAAGAAAGCCATAACACAAAGCCAGGTTAGTGTGCATAAAACAATCATTTACCTTTTTTTATGCCAGATGATGGCCGCTACTGCGATGAYGACAAGTACAACAAATACTGTGATGACAAAAAAAAACATGGAGTTGTTTGAATAGGATGCTTGTCACGTCGGGATGAGCRACTCAGAAAAGTGGGGGTCAGGACCTCCAAAAAAATAGAATAGTTTATTCACAGGAAAACACAGGTGAGAWCTCTGGGTAATGTTGCACAAAAACCATGGAACTTCAAAAAAACTTAAAGAGGTCATAAAAAATGTCTTGACTTGAACACAAAAATACGCACAGGGAGTTTTGCCCAAAACTTGGTGACACGGTGACTCAGGAACAACGATGATGAACATAGACTAGTGACCTTTAACAATGACTAACACGACTAATGAACCCACAGTGACACAGAGACAGGACAGCACTTAAATACACGGAAGACTAATGACATGACTCAGAACACCGGGGAACACGAGGGAAGCACAATCACTGAGACGAGACACGGGTGGAACCCACAGAGGCTGACAGACAAAACTTAACACAAAACCCTACATAAACACAACCAAAACATAACCCGGAAAATCCCACTATGACAATGATGAGTGATCATGAGGTAAATATGCAGTGAGTATGACGTCATCCTGGCGTTTAACGCTTTTTCACTTTGCAAAGAAAGTGGCAAAAACAAACGTGTTTCGTACATCCTGTTGAATAAAAGAGCTGTTTGAAACACAAATTCAATCTCAGTGTCTTGAGGGCAAAAATAAGGCTTCTAAACAGATTCAACATAACTGGGATTGAGTGAAGGGCACAGAGGTTTTAAAAAGTAAAACGGTTTCTGACAGATTCTTTTCTAAGTATTAAGGTGCCCATAGATGAGTAATCAGTGTTGCATAAAGTACCTCAAAGTGATACTTGAGTAAAAGTACAAGTATCTTATCATAAAAATACTTTGGTAAAAGTTAAAGCCTTCTCTAAAAATAGTACTTGAGTAAAAGTCTTAAAGTATCCAATATTTTTTGTACTTAATTATCAAAAGTAAATTTCTGACACAAAATCTACTTAAGTATTACAAGTTAAAGTACTGAGTAAAAGTGAGCAGTTAGATTTTCCAAAATGACATTTATTGGGAGGTGACTTCTCAAAAAAATATTTTTTCTCACGGCGTGCAGCTGTGATGGGTTGTGTACAAGCTAATAGGGTGTCAGAATGGTAAATATTTATACTTCTCATCCAACCACAATTAAATTCACTCTGTCCAGGAGACACAATTTATCAGGATAGTTTTTTTTAAGTAATAACTTGGAATAAAATAGGAGTAATGACTTTCTACTTCTTACCTTTTTAAAAAATGTAGTGAGTAGAAAGTACAGATAATTGTGTAAAAATGTAATGAGTAAAAGTAAAAAGTACTCTGAAAAATAATTACTCAAGTAAAGTACAGATACCCAAAAATTCTACTTAAGTACAGTAACAAAGTATTTGTACTTGGTTACTGTACAACTCTGAGTAATATTGGGTAATTTTAACAAATAACAGAAAAAACTAAACATTTAGACCAGAGACCGACTAAGCTCAGACTAAAATACAAATCTAAAAAATATATTAATTTATAAAGATCKGTGTTCAAGCTTTTTTTAAACACATACAAACAAGATTGGATAATTACTAAAGTTATCAATTATAAAAAACTCTTCTTTTTTTTGTGCAAACTATTTTGTTTTGCTATAATTTACTCTTGAAAAAATATCTGCCACTAGTGGCTTTGATTATACTTCAGGCTTGTTAGAAGAAAAAAACTGCATCATATAAAGTACTAATGTCAGTAAAACGGTCAAATAATCTGCACATGAATCTGTAGGTCATGCTGTCAGTTTCTACTGCTTATCTAAACCTGTGCAGAATGACCTGTAATAAACTCTGTAATCTTCAGTCACATTGTTCTTCTGAGACCTTGGTAATCCTGTTAAAGTCTACATTATCTCTGTATATTGTAAATATTCCACTGAAACATTAAGCTGAAACTCACCAACTCCAACAATGATCCCCGTATCATTGCGACTCTTATTTCCACCATCTGTGGAAAAACAATATATAAGAGCAGACAAAGGAAACAAAGCAGAAATATTTTGGAGATTGCAGATTTTTTTTTTTTTTGCCAACTTACCTGTTGTTGGTGTAGGAGAAGCTGAAGGAGAGAGATCAGGTTAGAACTTTAAAAACTTAAAAACGAAACAAATACATTTATTCAACACATTGCAGATGATTTTCAAAGTCGGAGAGACCCCACACATGAGGGTAAATAAAATCAGGGATAAAACAGGTTTGGTCATACAGTGTGTTGYGTACAGCCACACGGCAAAGATGACACATCACACACAAACAGAGTTCATTCACAAACATTTAGAGGGCAGACTGAAAACCTCTTAAAATTGCATGAGATTGCCCGAACATTCAGACAKGAAATCTCACGAGACCTCTCAAGATCAAATGTGAGTTCAAAATGAACAAACACTGCAGGTGAGGAAGAAGCAACCGTCATAGATTTTGGACTATTTTAACAAAGAGAGAAAAATAAAACAATTCAAAATGATGTCTCCAACGTCCAAYAGACTTTCACTGGGTTGACTGTTAAGGGGATTTCTCTTCCCCATASAAATTATTCTGCCATCTTCCACAACTGTTGTCTTCAGTGGGCTTCCAGGTCTCTTTACACTGATGAGTGCTAGTTTTCTTTCTCCAGACAAATCAAACTGTAGATTTGGGCACTCTTAATGTTGTAGAAATTTCTCAGATTGTTTTTCTCTGTTTTCGCAGCTTAAGGAYGACTTGTTTCACCTGCACAGAGAGCTCCTTCGACTGCAAGTTTTCTACTGAGCAAAATCTTCCAAATGCAAGCACCACACCAAATCAACTCCAGGCCTTTTATCTGCTAAGTTAAGAATGACATAACAAAGGAATTTCCCACACCAGCCCTTGAAATAGCCTTTGAGTCAATTGTCCAATTACTTTTGGTCCCATTAAAAGCAAGGTGGACACGTTTATGAGCAGAACTCCTAAAGCCTTCATCCAAATACATAAAGTAAAAACCCTCAAATGATTGTCATGAGCAGAATTCACTAAACACAGAGACAGAAAGAGAGACCATAAAGCTATTTCCATTTAAAGTATTTCCTTTAGGGCCGGAACAAAGGTTGGAGGCCATATTTTGCCCGTGGGCTGTGACTTTGGCAAATGTGAAAATCTACACATTTTTTCTATAGACAAATTTTTATTTAATTTATAAAACATGTTTAAAACAAATCTTAGCATGCACCCTCAGATAACTGATTTTTCTTCCCCCTCTGCTGCTTGTCTAAGCAAGAGAGCAGAGTCCTGATGGAGCTTTCTATTCTGCTGCAGAGGGTAAATGAGCTAAATCAATGATCTGCTGTTAATGATAATAAAGGGTTAATCATTTTCACAGACAACACAAACTATAGATTAACTTCAACATCTGAGGTTTAGCAGGTAAATAGGGAGACCAGGTCCTGAAAACTTTTTTGTCCCAAATGGGACAAAAAAGATGCTTCTGAGGGATAATGTGTGACACATCACTAAAACTTCATTTTATTATAAATCTAACATTACATAATTATTCTCTGCTTTGACTGTTAGTGCACAACTATGTCTTTTTAGGTTTTTTAAGAAAAAAAAGTCAATTAATATTTTAAGAAAATATTTTTTAAAGTTTGCCATAAAAAGCTTTGGTTTTAAAAGAAATCTTTAGAGTTTAAATTTGTTTTATTTTATCATAATGAAAAAATAACATTAAATGAATCAGACCTGGAAGGAGCAGAGCAGCTGCTTATCTCACAGTTAGTTATCTTCTATAGACTGACAGGCAGATAACAGCAGCTGCTGCTTTCTTGTGTGAATCCCTTTTACAGAAGTGTTGCTGCACGTTATGTTCCTCTTCAGCAGAAAACTGAACAAAAACGTGTAGAAATTTTCTGTCTGAGAATCAGCTTTCACTGACCTCGCCCATTTCCCAGTCTGTTTTGTTGCATTTATTTTCGTTGACAAAGTTTCCATTCCAATCTGCATTAATCAAATACATTTTCTTGCTCTGTGTTTGTACATTTATTTTTTACACAGTGGAGGCCGTGCGCAGAATGACTGCTGCAGCAAGTTATGGTGTCTCTTTCTCTCAAGTCAGTAAGACAGAGATTTAAAGGCATTATTTATTGGTTGTATGTTGCAACCACTAAATGTTCGTTGATTTATTTATTTTGCCTTGGGGTAAATTACCTGCTGCTTAGCTGTCTTCTGTTAGGAGAGATGAGCTGCTCCAGCTCTTTGTCTGAGCACGCAGCACCTTCACTACGAGTGACACCGCACGGGAGTGTGGAGAAGGGAGGATGTGAGGGCAAAAATACTTTGTGCATTTTTGGGCATTGGTAGTACAGAGTACGTCTTTTAATATGAAAGTGCAACCAAATGCAACAGATGCACTCTAAAACTGGTTTGACAGGGGCACTTCATGGGCTGGAGGGGGAAAGGCTCAAGCACCATCTGATGTCTATCTGTGCATGTTCCTGATGAATACTCTCTGGGCGCATGGTATGCCATTGCAAATACTTACTGAAACTCCTACCTGACTACATTATTTGGCGTTGATTCTTTAAAATAGTTTTGTTTTTAAAGACAAATCAGCAAAGACACACATAAGGAAACTTCATGTCACACATGACACCCACWCACACACACACACTGTACCTGTTGGTGTTTTTGCAGTCGTAGTAGTAATGATGGGGGGTTTAGTTCCGGCTGGAGTTATAAAAAGATAAAATAAAATAAATACTTAATGCAATAAGAACACAAACTAAGCATGTTCTCCTTTTTCAACATTTCTTACAATTAAGGACAAAAATAAAAATAAAGACAGGAAAAAAGCACACTTACTGTTTAAAGTTAAAAAGTTAAAATTAAAAACAGAAACAGAACAGAGATGCAAAAACTATAAAAAAAAGTTGGTATGGATTACAAGAAAGCATAAGAAAGGATATTACAGTTACTGATTAAAACAAATGTAAGGGTGATACGAAAGCAACATGGTGAGTAATGAACGGTGTTTTGAAAGATCAAAAAGAACGATCAGGCATTTCACAGTATTTTGTTAAGGATGAAAAAAAAAATCTATGATCAGAATGAAACAGTAAATTAATTTAATATACTATGTAAATGTTGGCCCAAGTCTTGAAGCTAAAATACCAAAGGTAGGTTATAATGTGAGTCACACAGTCATGAGTTGTACTAATCGTATTTTTCTTGGTGAAACTGATAAAGAAGAAATACTGAGTGTTGTTTAAAAAAAATCTTGCAGACTAACGATCAATAGATTAAGTGGACATGGATATGATGTTTGTAAAGGATATAATGAATTATGTTATTGAGCCATACGGTATATATGTAATTTATCATTTTCAACAGAAATAAATCTAGACAATATGAAAGTAGATAAGGTAACTCATCTTTATAATAATGGTGAGAAATGTGTTCTCTCTAATTACAGACSAATATTCTTGTTTCCACAGTTTTCAAAGATTTTACATAAATTACTTGTAACCAGATTAGATCAATTTATGAACAAACTGAATATTTTAGTAATAGTCAATGTGGGTTCAGAACAAATAATTCAATGTCAATGTCTCTCATGGAATTAATAGAAGAAATATCAAGTGCTGTCAAGCAAAAACTTTAGTGTGTTAGCATTTTTGTTGATACAAATAAGGCTTTCAACACTACTGATCATAAACATCTTTTAAATATGGCATTATTAGCACTACAGTGAGTATCTAGTTATTTGAAAGATAAGAAAAAGTTTGTTCAAGTAAATAATGTAAAATCTGAATTATGTAAGAATATTTGAGGAGTTCCTCAGGGTTCGGTGCTTGGACCAAAACTGTTTATATTATAAGTGAATGATTTGGTCAATGCGTCAAAGCTTTTAAATTTTATTTGTATTGTTGCTATTCTGGTGAAAATATTGAAGAGATGTTTGAGGTGATACAGACAGAATTTAGGAAGTTACAAATTTGGTTTCAACGTAATAAATTATCATTGAATCTGGGTAAAACAAATTATATGATATTTGGTGACAAAGAAAACTATCAAAATTCCATTCCGTATTGATGATACCGAAATTTGTAGAGTCAGTGAAATTAAAATTTTGGGGTGTAATCATTGATGAAAAGCTGTCATGGAGATATTATATAAATAAATAGATAAATAAAGCTCTGTGTACAGTATATTGTATAATACAATTGTTCATCATTTAATTTATTGTATTGAAGTGGATAAGCTTGTAAGACCATAACAAATTTTATTTTTATTTTGCAAAAAACGCTATAAGAATTATCAGTAGAAAATGGTATGGTCACCCAACTTCACTCAATTTCATCAGCTGAAATTGCTAAAATTTTATGGTTTATGGTATTTTGCACATCATGTATAAAGTTAATAAAAATATTACCTTTGTGAAATAATCTTGACACTAACATAAAACCTTCCACAAAGATTTATATGTTTAAAAAGATTACCAAGTTAAATTGATGAAGAAATTATGATGCTTAGTAGTGTTTAGTGAAGCTATCAAAGGATTCTTTCTGTTGATTTGTTCTTGTTTTTAAAATGTTTTTGGTTTTCTTTTCTCAAATATGGAGA